CTCACATTGCCAGAAAAGGTGCTCTGCCGTTTCTGTCTCTCTACCACAAAGTTCACAGTTCGTGTTGATATTCATATACTTGCTAACCCTATCCTTCGTTTTCAATCTGCCCTTCCACAGCAACCATACTATGAATCTGAATTTGGGTGGAGTATACTTATTCCAGACCCATTCTCTCCACTCGGGTTTTTCCCCCTCCCCTTGTAACCAATCATACCCTCTATTTATGGTATAAGGTAGATTTGCAGGCATACTAGTAAACTTCTCCTTAACCCTCATCATTTCCTTCCAATAATGGCATGAGTCTTGTTTAGGCTTGTAGCTCCAGAAGTCATCCCCTTTAATGTATTTCGCATGTATCCACCTAACCCATAAGATGTCTTTCTTGTCAGCTATGTCCCAGTTAAGTTTCATAATGGCTGCATAATTCCAGTTTAAAGCATTTTTAATCCCCAAGCCACCATACATCCTTGATTGGCACACTTCATCCCATTTGACTAGGGGTGCCTTTGTGTATTCTGCCTTACCATTTCACAAAAAATTCCTACAGATTGCCATTATCTTCTTCATCACTCCTTTAGGTAGAATGAAAATTCTTGCCCAGAAATAAATTACTCCCATCAGCATTGAGTTGATTAGTCTCACCCTGGCTGTGTAAGAAAAATTCCCACACTGTTATTCTTGCTGTGATTTTATTTACCAACGCATCGCATTCATGGCCCCTCAATCTAGCTGTGGTTATAGGGGACCCCAGATATTTGAATGGGAACTTACCTTCCTTCATATTAGTTATTTCCAGTAGCTTGTGTTCAGTTTCATGGCTTATTCCCCCAAACACAACTTCAGATTTGCTCCTATTAATCCTCAGCCCAGTGGTTAGCTGAAACTCCTCCAAAGCATTCATAATACAGCTGACAAATTTGCAATCTGCTTTGCACACAACGATCAAATCATCAGCAAAAGTTAGGTTTACAATATTCAGTCTTTTACACATGGGATGGTAAGAGAATCCCTCCTCTTTGGCAACCATATGAAACTTCCTTGTGATATACTCCATTACTAACACAAAAATAAGTGGAGATATTGGGTCACCCTGTCTCAAACCCCTACCCCCTTTGAAGAAACCGTGTTGCTCTCCATTCACATTTAGTATATAAGTGGGAGTGGAGATACAAAACATAATCCATTCAACAAATTTTCCTGGGAACTTCAATCCCTGTAAGATACCCTTTATTGATTTCCAGCTTACTGAATCATACGCTTTTTGAATATCCAACTTCATCATACATTTGGGTGTCACTCCTTTCCTCTTGTATCCTTTAGCCAATTCTTGGCACAATAATACATTGTGGAGCAATTCTCTTCCTTTTACAAAGGCAGACTGGTTCAGATTTACAATATGAGGCACCACTTCCTTTAGTCTGGTGCAGATCATCTTTGATATCACCTTGTATACAGTATTGCAGCAAGATATGGGCCTGTAATCTTCAGGTTTCATTGGGCTGCTAACCTTTGGAATAAGGGTTATACAAGTAGTATTAATCTGTTTTAGGGTAGTATCCTCCCTAAAAAACTCCA